CGATGTCTCCTCTGGTAGACTGCAACCAACTTGAGGCCCATGTCCCCTGGCAGAGAGGAGGTGCTCCACTGAATAACAAGTGAATGACCAAACAGGATATAAAAGGTGATGAGTAGACTGCCCGGCTCGGGCTGGGGCACTGCCACTGTCTATGGAACATGACCAAAGTGACAAAATGGGAAGAACTGAATTCGTCACAAAAGGCAATTCAGTCAATCTATACATGTTCAAGTTTTATTACAAAGTATGATGGGCAGAAAATACGGTACTTCTTATACAGGAGGCTGAAACAGAATGAAAGGGTGAAAATTAGGTTTAATTTACTTAGGAAACAAGAAATAGAAAGTCATAGCTATAACACTCCACTTTCAGGTGCCCTTGAAGTAGCCTTCAATGGAGATTCCCCATAGTTGTTTCACAGCACAGTGTTAAAATTTTATTACAAGCCCTGTGTACAATCAGTCCTGTGAAAATATTTATAAAAGAAAAATATTACAGTACAGTTCTGCAAGGGGCAGCTTCCTCTCCACCTGACCATGGATGCCACAAAACCTATAATATAGAGGGAAAGTTTAAATATATAACAAGAATGGAAGTTCAGACATACTAGGCTAAAGGGCACATAAATGGATCAGTTAGAGCTTAACATTTCAGAGCAAGAAATCTCCATTTTCTACACAGAGGTTTACACAATCATGCTACAAATTCACTCTGGGTGGGGTGGGGAAGAAAAGTCACTGACAAGAGGGATAATAAAATACACAGGAACCAAAGCAAGTGAGTCGGACTCAACTAAAGCGATTCAAAGCTTCAGCTCAACAATTTTCATAACACATGGTACACCATAATCAACCCAAGGTGAGAACATTTCTTTTAAATAGTAGATATCACAAGTTCATAATCACTGGGTTCTTCCAAAGGTGGGTGCCTATAAACTTTCCAGCTGTTACATACTGTCAACATATTTCTTCTTGAGTTTAAACTTTCTTTAGCTTATTTGTCTCTGGTTGGATATAATACCAGTCCAAGCCTCTTTGGGAAGGCACCTGCATGTTCCCATATTTTAAAAATGACATCCAGAAAGTAGCCTGAGAGGACCTGGCCCATCTCATGTGGCCACACATTTGACTTTGACCATTAGCAGCAGTGACACCGTGGGAGGGGGAGAGGGTGCAGGTGGGTGAAGTGGGCAAGGCTCTGCAACACGAGACGCTCTCAGGAGCTGGCCCAGTCAGGACCTGGCCCAGGGTTCACAGTGACTTTACTCTGCTCCGCCCTCTTCCCTGGGAAAACCAATCTAAGTATCAAGAATGACCTTCCTTCTTCGTCCTGGAGTACACACAGTAAAGGGAAAAGTCTACTTTGAGGCTTCTACTTCAATGGTCTCCCCTACCCCAAGCCAGGAATGGAAGAGGTTGCCATATTCTCAAAGTAGGGAAGGTAGAGGGACAGTACTGGGCTGCCCTCCCACATGTGGTAAACCCTGCAGCTCCTACATGTCTTCATGGCCCAGGAATTCAAGGCCCAGGGGCAGCAGGAAGAAACAGTGGAAAGGCAAGGGGAAGAGAAAAGAGAAAAAGGAGGGGAAAAGTCTGCATAACTGTTATAACCTCTGCTTCTCCTGCTCTGTAACAAACCCACAACCAAGAAAAGCCATGGTCTGGAACAATAATGGGACCCCCAACGCCTGTAGGTTTTTTACCACCAAGTATCACCCATGGCTGCTCTGAGCTGTCATCTTGTTCCCATAGTTACCTAGCATCACAGATGCCCAATTTATGGCCCAGGAAGGCTGACCCAGGCTAAGGGCAGTCTCACTCCACAGTCATACAATGGACAGTATGAATGTTTTCCTACCCCAGACCTTCACTGACCTCTACTATTTCCTCCTCTGATTTAAAGAAAACATTTTTATTTTCTCCTGCATCCTACATCTCCTCCTAAAATTTCGGCCCTAGTTGTCATCAAAACCTTGTAGGAGTCTGAATTTTTTATTTCTTCCTGAATCTTAGTCAGTTCTCTGACAGCCAATCCTGGATTTGTAAGAAATTTTTGCCCAGTTATTTTTATTTTATTTTTTTGAGACGGAGTCTTGCTCTGTTGCCCAGGCTGGAGTGTAGTGGCACGATCTCGGCTCACTGCGAGCTCCGCCTCCTGGGTTCACGCCATTCTCCTGTCTCAGCCTCCCAAGTAGCTGGGACTACAGGCGCCCGCCACCACCCTTGGCTAATTGTTTTTGTATTTTTAGTAGAGACGGGGTTTCACCGTGTTAGCCAGGATGGTCTTGATCTCCTGACCACGTGATCTGCCTGCCTCAGCCTCCCAAAGTGCTGGGATTACAGGTGTGAGCCACCGTGCCCAGCCTCGCCCAGTTATTAAATATCTTCCCTCTTCAAGTCCTAACCTTGCAGGCTAATTCCTCCCTAGAAGAAGAGGATTCCAATGCTCCTGAGCATAAAAACTTCGGGTCCTTGAATGACCTGGACCCATTCTGAAGAAGGCTCTCTGGTGGTAGAGGCCTGAGGCCTAATTTATTTAGCACCTCCATCCTTCCTCAGAACAGATGAGGACAATACAGGCAGCTGTGCCTCAGGCTGCCAAGAGCAAAAGGGCCACCACCAGCTGGGCCACAGCCTGGCGGAGCCTCCACGTGGGCTTCCTGGTAAAGTTCTAGCGGCTGCTCCTCCTGCAGTCAGCGAGAACAGATCCAGGGCCTCCCACCCAGTCTCGCTGGCTGTCAATTTGAGAACCTCAACAAATTACAGAGAGTTGTTTTTGCAACTACAACAGATCTGTGCTTTCTGGAGCATGGCTGACTTAGAGGCTTTCTAAATCCTGAGACAGGAGAAATCCCCTCCTAAGTCACGGGTTGTCGGGCTGGTGAAGTAAAGGGAGGGTAAGAGAGCTGGGATTCAAAGACCAGCAACTCACCAACTGTGAGTATGTGTGTGTGCTTGCTTAGGGGGGGTGGAGTCTCCCCTGGGTCCTCGGTGGGATTCAGGGGAAGACTGCACTGCAGGACCTAAGGAAGGATGATAGGGGCTGGGCGTCCACAGGGCAAAGGAAATCTCAAAAGTTGTTGGTTTCCAGAGTAAATATCTATCTTACGCAAACATATTCTAATTATTATTATTTTTTTCAAGTTGTTGTTTCTGAGTTCCAGCTGACAAATTCCACCATACAGACCAAGATTAGGTGCAGATCAGGAAAGGAATCTCAGAACTCAGTGGATGTAAGCCCTGCCTGGCAGACCAGCCCCTTCTACCACTGACTTCCATTTCAGACCCTTCTCCACAAGAAGGAACTGATGGCCTCCTAAACAAGCAGCCATCAGCTTGGCCTTGCTACCCTTGAGAGAAGGACCCAGTAACCATTTCAAACACAACGAAAAGCAGAGGAGGGTTCTGACCAAGAACTGCTCGCTTTATATCTCCAAATGATGCAGTGCAAATCCAGTGGCAAATGCAGGAGAGGCAACTGCAAGCACATGGCCAGCCAGAGTCCTAAAATCAGAACAACAAAGTAAAAGGGTAGAAGGCGAAATACCCTGGCTAAAAAAGAGCCTTTTTCTTGGGACAGGTCCCTGTATGGTAAAGCAAACAGCTAGACTTTTGGCTTACAATGACATCTACTTCTGAAAAGGAAGACTTAACCAAAAAAGCTTAAGGGCCCAGAAGAACAAAGTTCACTGTTTTGCTTCTCAAGCAGGTGAGAGCCAAAGAGGACAAAATCATCTCCTTCAGGCCCGCTACTCTACTAATCTCAGATGAGCAATTCAGAGGGACTTAAAAACCTCCAGGCTGGAGCAGAGCACAAGGAACCAGCCAACTTCTTCCCCCCCACCCCACCCCCTAGCACGTCCCAAACTGCCTGCCCCAAGGGTTCATCTAACAGTGAAATCACACACTTGCTCCTCCATGGAACTCACTCACGTAACGGAAAGACACCTGCGGCCTGCAAGTCAAAAGACAACCGCAGGCTACAAGTCCAATACTGCTCAGAACCTAACTGGGGGAGAGAGGGATTGGCAGGTGTGGGGAGAGCTCTTAACTGGCTAACCTTGGGGGTCTATAATTCCTTTTCCTTCTTTTTTTTTTTT